AAAATAAAAAAAAAAAAATATATATATATATATATATGTAATATTTTTGTCATATCACCATTGAAACTAATATTGAAATGTCAACTCATTTTTCTGTTAAAGTACCTAATGCAAAATTTACGGCATTAAAATGGATATGAATAGCTAACACATATTATGCATTTTATTACTAGAGGTTTGGGAGTTGAATATTTCTATTCCGTATTAAAAAAACTAACTCCAATGATATAGTTGAAATGTAGCCAGTTTGAACATTAGATAACACATTTATTACTACCATAAAGATTAACGGTTGGTTATTCTACACATAGTTGTGTAGAAAAATATTTTTTTATATCAATACTATAATTTATATAATAAAAATCGACACGATATTATAAGTTTTAAACCACAGTCAATGATTAGTAAAAAGATATATGTTAATTGTTAAATCATAAAAAATATATATTTTTTGTAATTGAAATTAATGACTGTCTGGTCTTAAGGACAATGTAGAGGTTTGAACACAGGACCTCCCACTCTGATACAATCTTAATTCATATATTGGATATCTAACATATGGAACGAATATTTAATGTAAAGAGATATTAGTGATTCAGTCAGATTGCTTGGAATTTGTTCAGTTAGTGAAAAGGGAGGTGACGATATTCTCAAGTTGGTATGGATTTTGACGAGCTACATTTTGATCATATTCGTCTCCAAATACCTAAGCCAATATTTTGACCAAACGGACTTCACACTTTAGTACTTCTAATATCTATCTAATTTAGTTCAATTTCGCTATAGAAAAAGTCAAGACGAATATAACTTAATCATAATTGACATATATATCATCAACCCCAAATTCAATTCTCATCCCACGTACTGTACTTTTTTTTTTTTTTGCTTAACTGCTAACTAAATATTTATAAGAAAACCGCCATAACAAGAATTGAGCCTCGAGAGTGTGAATCAGCAGGATGATCTGGCATGGAAGAAACTGGAATGTGCTTCCATGGCGGAACTTGGAAAGCAAGAAAGAGGAGAAGAAAAATAAAAATAATAATAATAAAAGAAAAAGGCGTGGAGCGTGGAGCGGGGGTGTCGCTGTTCCGTATGGGAATTGGGAATCAGATGCAACTCCACATCCGCTCCACGTTGCATTTCATGTGCGGCTCCTAAGACTCAGTCAGAGTCAGCGTCGACAGCGACAAACGCAGATGCGCAAAACCATGGGCGGAAGCGGAACCCAACTTCCCCAATTAAATGATGACGCGGAAGTTCGAGCGCAGCCCCTGCTCCATTCTCTCTCATTCAGCTTTCATCCTCTCCCATGGCGCCTCCTTCCAATGATTCCCTCCCCCTTTCCATCCACAACATCAACCCCAAGGTATGCTTCGGCGCATGATGTTCATTGATTTGCTTCTGACGATTTTATGCATATTTTTAGTTGAATCGTGTTCTCAGCTATCCCTGTTCATGTCCTGCTTATTGCCGATCACGGATATACTCGTTTCGTGTGTGTTTTGTATTGTTTTTGATGAGGCTGAATGAATCGTTTTTGTTATTTGGGAGTTTGGATGGTACTTCGAACAATATCCATCTCATTTTACACGATCATGATTCATGGTTGCGGTGTCGTGTCGCTATCTTAATTTGGTTTGCAGCATTTTATAGCTAATGACAATTCCTGGATATTTTGGGACGCGATTTTTGCAAACAAAATATTTTATTCTTCTTCTTTCCATTGTATTATTTTTCCTTAGCTCCAATTCCAAACTCTTAATTTTTTTTTTTTTGTCTCTTTAAAGGTTCTGAAATGTGAGTATGCTGTCCGAGGTGAGATCGTCGCCCTTGCTCAGGTAAGTTTGTGCAAGTTTTGTTAATGGTTTTAATCCTTACGCGCTAATTTGAGGGGTTAAAACTAATAATAAATAATCTGAAAGGTTAAGCAAGAAAGTTTGACGAAACTATAGCATTGGGTTGAAGGGTTTAAACTTTAAAGCATTACTTTATGACCAATAAAAGTGAGATTTGATAGCTAGTTTGGGTTTGTTTAGTGAGCTTTAAATATGATCTGAATTGCTTAGTTTGTGATACTGAAAGTAGCATCCTTTTTGCCTACCATCTTCTATCCTCTTAACAGAAATTGCAAGAGGAGCTACTGACTAAACCAGGCTCACGTAATTTTGACGAGGTATGGTTCCTTTCTTCATTTACTTAATATTAGCACCTTTCACACTTTCATTTTTATGTTCTCACGTTCCCCATTTAAGGCTAGCATGGGAAAGTATGATCTTTCAACTTTTGGGTTATGCGAATTACATGCTAGCCAAAATACATCCATTCTGAATGTAGTGAAATGCTTATCTCATGATACGTGTTTAACAACACAAATCTTGCCGGTGCTTTAAAATTTTTTTGTATGACCCAGTTACCATTAGAATATCACTTTATTATGCAGATACTGTACTGCAATATTGGAAATCCTCAGTCCCTTGGTCAGCAGCCAATAACATTTTTCCGTGAGGTTTGTCAGAGTAACGGCTGTTTGTATTTTCCACTATACCTCGAGCAATTATATTCCTGATTATCTTTGTTTATTCAGGTTCTTGCTTTGTGTGACCATCCATCTATTCTCAACAGAAGTGAAATACAGGGTTTGTTCAGGTACTTCAATTTAGCAGCCAGTTATATCTAATCTCGGCAACTCATTCCCTGATGTGGAAAGCTACTAAGTTACTCCACTACATGCTTTTTAGAAAACCGTGCCTAAATTGGAAACTGGTAAACAATGAAAATAATTTTACGTTTGTACGATTATACCCACTTCAGCGGTAATTATTTGTAACTTGTTTTGGTCAGAGTACAACATGTAATTATCAGCTTTAGATCAAATTTAGTACTAAAATGTTTAGTAATAATGTTTGTGCCTTTTCCTGCATGATTTTTTTTCTCTAACTTTTTGCAGTGAAGATGCTATTGGGCGAGCTTCGCAAATTCTGAAACAAATTCCCGGGAAAGCAACTGGTGCTTACAGCCATAGTCAGGTTGTTATTAGAAAAGCATAAGGTTTAGGTGACATAGAATTCAGGTCGTCTAACATTTAATCTATTTTCTCACATCAGGGTATCAAGGGGCTTCGTGATGCAATTGCTGCTGGAATTGAAGCTCGTGATGGTTATCCTGCAGATCCTAATGATTTGTTTTTAACAGATGGTGCAAGCCCAGCGGTAACTTTCAATATCTGTGACTCTGAATCTTTATATTTATAAGTGTTGAGTTGATACAAAGATATAAATCTCAAAGTAGCATGTCAAAGAGGCTCTTGTATCTGTTTGTTATCAGGTCCATATGATGATGCAATTGCTGATAAGTTCAGAGAAAGATGGGATACTCTGTCCCATTCCTCAGTACCCTCTGTACTCTGCTTCTATAGCTCTTCACGGCGGTACTCTTGTACGTTTTTATTATTTCAGAAAGTGTTTAGTATTTGATTTGATTCCTTTTGAGTTAATGTGTTATGACTTCTGTTTGTTCTGAACGAAACTTTATAGAACTTTTTGTATGCTTCCAATTCTTTTGTTGCATAGGCATCAAGCAGTAAAAGTTTATTGGTGGTTTGCAGGTTCCTTACTATCTTGATGAAGCATCAGGATGGGGATTGGAAATTTCTGAGCTGAAGAAGCAATTGGAGTCTGCCAAGTCAAAGGGTATTTCTGTTAGGGCATTGGTGGTTATAAATCCTGGAAATCCCACTGGACAGGTATATTATTGGAGGTTTTGAATGTAAATCTTGGGGATGGAATTATTTTCAGACTGTTAGTTTGCAAATATCTGATACTCTCATCTCATCCAATGCGTTTCTTGCTGCTTTGCATATTTTGCTTCCTACTTCGTTGGATATCTTTACTTTATCGTAGTATGTCTTTAGGTGCTTGCTGAGCAAAACCAAAAGGAAATAGTGGAGTTCTGCAAGCAAGAGGGCCTCGTTCTTCTGGCAGATGAGGTATATTTACAACATTGATGGAAGCTTGCACCATAACTTTACTGGATCTATTACTTAGACTTGAGTTTCTTGAATCAATGACTAATGTTACGGTTTCCATCACTTTGGCTTCATTTAAGACCTGATGAATGGTGCAGGTATATCAAGAAAATATTTATGTTCCAGACAAGAAGTTTCACTCTTTTAAGAAGATTTCACGCTCCATGGGTTATGGTGAAAACGACATCTCCTTGGCATCATTCCAGTCCGTCTCTAAAGGTTTGTTGCCTTTATCCACATCTATTTTATGCGAGGTGAGGAGAATACTATGTAGACAACTGCTCTGATTTCATGCATTACTTTGTTTTTTAATTTCCTGGTATTAGGATACTATGGTGAGTGTGGAAAACGGGGAGGTTACATGGAGATTACTGGGTTTAGTGCTGATGTGAGGGAACAAATATACAAAGTGGCATCCGTCAATCTTTGCTCTAATATTTCCGGCCAGATTCTTGCTAGCCTTGTAATGAATCCACCAAAGGTTAGAATCTTCTGATTTCTATGCCTAACTGAAGTCATCCCTATTGGACTCTTTATAAGGTAAAAACGTCTGTAAAAAAAGAGCTTTTAAGTAATGTACCTCACTTTGTATGAATTTCCTTTTCCTCGTATTGCAGGTTGGGGATCGCATCTATGAATCTTATTGTGCAGAGAGAGATGGAATCCTCAAATCACTAGCAAGGCGTGCAAAGGTTTGTGAAATGAGTATGCTCTTTTCGTTTCTTATTATGAATCTGCATACAGTGAAGAAAAAAGAGATGAAAGTTTTGTATGTAAGGATTCCTGAATGCTTGATTCAACTGATCTTCAAACTTGTTATCATCAATCAGTTCATACTGATATCTTTGTACGTATCATTTTTGTCTGGCTGGCACAATCTTAAGCATTACATACTCCACTGCAATTTATTGTACTACAGACATTAGAAGCTGCGTTCAACAGTCTAGAAAATGTAACGTGCAATAAAGCAGAAGGCGCAATGTACCTATTCCCTTGTATTAAGCTGCCTGAAAAGGCAATTAAAGCAGCAGAAGCAGCAAATACGGCCCCTGATGCATTCTATTGCCGCCTTCTTCTGAATGCCACTGGAATAGTTGTCGTCCCTGGTTCTGGCTTTGGGCAGGTTTGTTTCACTGCCTTAACCTCTCAATCTAGTCCCTAACTTTCATCCGCTGTATTTGAATTTTGAACCATCTATATTCTATGCTACACAACCAATGATCCATTCTGCATTTGTTTTGTCACAGGTGCCCGGTACATGGCACTTCAGGTGTACAATACTACCTCAAGAGGACAAGATCCCAGCCGTCGTCTCCCGCTTGACCGACTTCCATAAAGCATTCATGAACGAATATCACGACCAAGTTTCAGACTGTCCGAAGCTCTAGGGACGACTGACAATTCCCACGAATCCAGGTGCAGCCAATTCCTCTTACTTCTTTGGAGACTAAGATGAAAATGCTTTGTGGTCTTTCTGGGTTAACGAATAATGCAATGGCATAGAGCCTTTCTGTGGCTCTGATCTTTTTGATTGTTAAACAAAGCATCTTATATTTAAGTAGTAGATGATGAAAACAACAGAGCAGTTACAGGCCAATTGTGAGGCAAGAAAACAGAAACATAGTAGATTTTCTGATTTCTATATTGAGATGATTCCTGGATATCACTGAACTAATAGAAGCTTTAGCATTTTTTTAGGTGGGCAGGAAAATTTAGCAACAGAAGTAGCAATTCAATGATAAAAACCATATAAGGAGGTCCCTAATGTGGGTTTCTCAGTACCCAAAAATATTCCCAAATGGGCCCACTTTATTCAAGGCTTTTTCAGGGAACTGCTCCTTCTGGGGGAGGCAGAACACCAGAGAATAACGTTACTGAGCAGTATACTCCCCTGATAATATCTAAAAAATACGGCGACAAAAATATAGGACACAGATACGTTGGGGACATATCATTTTAAAAAGAAAAAAGATAATGTATTTGTATATATTGCCCTAGTAATTCTTCCAAGTAAATTAAACATACCAATCGAGCCTAACAAAACAAAATGTTATGAAGATAATATATGTCTATATATTGTCACAGTGTTTAAATTTCATGTAAATTTCGTCTGATATGTTCTTGACGTGTTTATAGCTATCTATCATATGTTTGTAGCGTGTCTGCCACATATTGGAAGAAAGAGGGATACTCTATTTCATGTGTTAGACAGGTGTTCAGTACGGAACGTACTGAGACGTATTTGTGTCCACTCCATGCTTCTTAGATTACGGAGTTAAGATGATATCCATGGTTATTATAATCATTATTCATACTTCATAATTATTATGGATGGTTCATGGGTTCAAAATGAGGTTAAGGTGAAGGGGGGAGACAATAAGTTTAAATTATCTTATGTATACGTGCTGACTCGAATATTCACGGATATCGAACAAAAAAAATCATTATTCATTGATTTGTTGGTAATATTTATTGTTGTTTAATTTTCCATTGTTTGCCACTTGAGATTAAAAGATTTCAATCATGTTGAAGTGGTCAAATCAAATTCCAATTGGTGGTGTCATTTCGAAAGGTGATTAGAAAACTGTTGAAATGGTAACTGGAATTGGGAAGTAAGGATAAGATTGAAAAATAAAGCTAAATTGTGCAAATCTGACACCTCAATATTAAAGTGTTCCAAGTTTATACTATAAGAAAAACTAGGATGTAAAATGACGATTTTGGGCATGGTAACCAGAAATATTCTTCGAATATTCAAAAAATTGCTTCAATGAGAACATTATATTCTATCTCTAATTTTAGGTGTCATAAACAGCCATTATACTAAATCCCAATTTTAAGTTGACATTATAATGGAAATAAAGCTGAATCATAATCTAGCGACTTTATATAATATTTATTGGTAGTTAAGAAGCACGGATACGTATCATATACTAAGCTGATCTTACACTTATTAGATGCATATCAAATGTTTCTAAGCATAAAAAACAAACGTAAATAATAATATATGACTAAATAGTAAACTTTAAAAGTAAAATGCATCAAACAGCGTAAAATGCATGAAATTATTAATTTTCAATTTCATTCTAATATAAAAATGATATTATTCTTAAAAAAGTTGTATATTTTAATAAACGTGTCTTTGTTGTGATCGCATCTTAAATTTTTAGAAAATGATATATCATCGCGTTCTTATCTTTATATGTATTGCGTAGTATCAAAATCTGTAGAAATCAGAAATCTCATTCCTTAAACAGTTGGAACTAATGGGAAATTCTGAGTTGACAGTGTACCTGAAGAAGAGCCAATGATGGAACAAGTTGAAGTTTTTAAAGAAACAGCTTTTTATAACTAATTATTTATTTTCTGACGTGGACTTGATTTTTAAAAACAAGGTGGAGAAATTTGGATTATGCAGCTTGATCATCTCCCTCGTTTTTAAATATTATCCTCTCAGTCGCATTCATTATGATTAGAGTATGAGTGTGTTAATTCAATACGAAAATTTCCTTTTTTTTTAAAAAAAAAACTAACCTAATATTTTAAAATGCCCAAAAAAGAAATCACACTCGGTTTTCCACCTAACTTTGAAAAGACCTACCAGCCAATTACCAGAATTTAAAAAAGTAGTTAATTTATTATTATTTTTTATTTTTTATATTTTTGTTAAGAAATAGTGGTGCAATGTGAGACATTGGATTCACCGGCAGCAACAGGTTGAAGATAAGCCACATGGGGCCTCAAATTACTATATTAGATGTATATTTATAATAATGCACCATCACTCTCCAATAATTGGAATATTTTTATCTATACTTTATATTATACCAAAAAATATTTGGAAATGACATCTGATTTTAAATGCATTAAATATGAGAAACTATAAGGGAAAATAGCAGAAAACAAATGGGAAAGAGCCCCCACCAAGAAACAGCTTCTTGTTCATTCCATCTTCTTATTATTGTATTGTAGTCTCTAAAACTGATGGCACTGACTTCTTCTTCTTCTTCTTCTTCTTCTTCTTCTTTCAATGTCTGTCTTCTAAAATCTGGTCTTTCAATTAAGCCTATGAGCAGAGTTTGGATGCTGAGACCCACCAAGTTTTTTCCTCTTAAGAAGTCACTTCCACTGCAGATCAGATCTTCCATTAAGAACAAGGTCAGCATCTTCTCTCTCTCTCTGCCTTTTCTCACTTATTCTTCTTTCTTTTCCCCTGTTTGTGATTCCTCTGTTATGTCTGCATCAAATTCCTTTCAAAACAAACAACTTTCCGGTCGGTGCTTGATTCTCTAGCTTAACGAATAATGAATAGGTTTTCGAGGATCAATCGGAGGGAGTGATTTGCTACGCGGACGAAAACGGGGAGATCATCTGCGAAGGATACGATGAGGGCCCTCGCTTTCACCAAAACCCGTCCGAGAAAGCCAACCATCAAAGGTAAATGAATCCCTGTTCTAAACCAACACAAAGTTCTGAAGTTTATTTGTTTGGAAGCTGTTGTATTGATACATGTTGTTGTTGTCGTTGTTTCGTGTTTTGGCCACAATTAGAGAGACAGAGATTATTGATCTCCTACTAAAACAAAGTTGGATTCATCTAGGAAAAGGTGGTGGAGAGCTAAGCCGTGCCGAAAAAGGTGCACCACTAAAAAAAGACTTCAACGTTAACGGCTTCAACTCGTTCTACTAATCTACATATCGTCTAACTCCTATGGAGCATACGCAGATGCCGAATGTATGTACTTTGTATGTCAAAATATGGACAGACATATATTGTTTCAACTCGAGTAGTTCGAGGAAACTGTACTTTCTCATGTATCTGAATCACATAATCAAAGTTCACTGCCCAAAATTGCATAGTTTTTCTTGCATTAATTTCCTTATGATGATGATGGAATTCCAACCCAAATCTGCAAGAAAAACAAGTATATAAAAGCTTCTGAGCAATGGGGTAATGATTTTATATTTGAACACATAGTTTAGTTGGAGTTTTGAGATGCTAATGGCTCCAAAAATTAAGAATAAGATGTATGATTGAAAATCTGGTTTTTCATTGGAAGTTGGAACTGAGGAAACTTATCCTGTAAAGTCCAACCCAACATATGGAGGTAATGCATTTTTGGTGAAGCATAGATGATATTTTGAAGCAATTTACACTGTAAATCTGACCACTACAAACACTACCTATTTTATACAAAGATCTTAACCAAGAGGTGAACTAATATTATACCTCCTTTTTTAATGGCTTCAGCAGCCTTCTTTCACACCTCCTCTTGCTAGTTGCTCTTCAACAATGATATTCAGACAAAAAGAAAGGGGAAAAGAATCTACCTAAAAGAATCAAAATCAATATACTCAAGATAATGAACAAGTGAAGGGTTGTACTCTAAGGTATGCTCATGTCTATCTACAAGGTAACTGAAACGGCATCGGATTTGGCATCCTGCGTGTTCTCGTCGCCTAAATCGGACTGAGACTGGCTTGGAACAATGGACTGCGGAAACCACTGGTCTGGCACCATCAGAAAGTAGGTTGTCATTGCTTTCCTGAATCTCTTCTTGTACTCCTTGGGGGAGATCACAGTTGGAGACGAGTTCTTTGCGCCACCAAGAATGCCTGTAGCCTTCACCCAAGTCTCCAGATGCTTGTCCCATGTATACTGTCTCATGAAATCGATGATCCCGATAACTAGTTCGTGTTTCTCCTCGTCCACACCAACCAGCAACGAGTAGTCCATCACACCAATTGACTGTGTCACCATGGGTTAAACAATGAGTGAGAATAATGTGTTAGGAGATCGTTTTCAAAACATCAAGCAAATACACTTGTTCGCGAACTTACAGCAAGAAATGAAGTATCGTTCCATACAGCCCTCTCCAACAATCGTTTTGCTTTGTTTCCTACAAAAATCGGAGAAGTTCGCATTGCTTCGATCAAGTTTTGGTCCAACAGAACCTTGTTATTCCCAGTTGAATCAGAATTATAGCGTGATCTAGAAGATCCTTTGAGATCATAAAGTCGTGTAACATTCCTTCTAAACAGAAGATTCTCCATAACCAGAACATCCATCTTTGATTCTTTCCCTCCTTTAAGATGCTTTGCCGTAACCTTCCACAATGAAACCAACAACAAATATTAAACCACAATATCATAAATATTGTAGGATAAACAAAATGGCTTCAAACATGAGTACAAAGTTCTTGCTATGTTTTTATTTCTATTTTCACCAGTGATAACAATTTTTTTTCAAAGATAATTAGTAATAATTATAGTCCAGTAAGAAAGTTGAAACAGCTGTGATAGGCAATCCAAATCTGAACTTTGTATTCCACAGACTGGAAAGAGTCAAAGATTTGCACTTCATTAGCCCTTTCATGTAGCTGCCAAAAGATGAATGAGCCATTTATAACAGACTACTATTAATCCATCTTTGAAGACTTAATTTTTCTCAAGTACTGGAAACCTCTCTAAGCATAGTTACAATTTAATACCCTGATGATTGTCTTAAAGCTCAAGGATTAGAAGTACCTGATAGATTCCAAGAACCTTTGCTAGGCATGTAGGACTTCGCGTACAAATTGATTCGGATAAATACTTGAAATATTCAGGTGCAAATTTAATAAATGACTCCAGTTCTGTCTTGGTGACTTGTTTAATGATAAAGCGATCATCCAAAGTTTTGGCAAAGAAAACATTACTCTTACCACCTTGGGCTCCCCACTTCTTACAACGACTAAGAGACTTTACGAAATCAAGTTCTGAACAGCAAATCCTCCTCAAAGCTTCAAATCGTTTTGCATAGTAACAGGTCACAGAATATTTTACCCCACCATGTGGGCCATATTCTTCAAAATAAATTCTGGGATTAAGGGACTTTGGGTATAAGACTGGATCCAGACCAAGGGAGGTACGAGACCCAGAGATACTAGAAAGACTATCATCTGAAGGACCCACACTTTTATGAGAATCAAAGGAGAAGTCATCGGAGGACTGCAAAAATGATTCTGAGAAAGATAAGGAAGGCAACGAATCACCACAGTCTCTTAGCTTTTCGGCCTCATCAATCAGCTGGGAATGATATTCTGGTGACATTAGAGCGTAAGCTATGATACTTGAGGGTTCATCATCATAGACTGGAACAACAGTTTCATTTACACCAAGAGGCAAGAACAGCCTAGCTCCACCTTGAAATTCTAACTCCCAGAATGAAGATAGAAAGACAGGATTATGTTTCCCCAGTGCTTCAAGTTTCAGACCACTTGATAGAAATTTCTCATTATATAAATAATAAAAGTTTGAGGAAATCGTCTCTAACTGGCTAGCAAAGTCCTCTGTATCTTCAAGTGCCTTCGAAGGAAGCAACTGAGAAACAGCATGGGTACCCCTGTCCACATTTGGATGTTCACCACGATCATAACATGCATTAATATCAATGCTTGATGAATTTTCCACAGTCGAATTAGATAAACTATGGGAATTATCTTTTGTTATTCCAACTACTGAACCATTTTCACCTGTCCATGCAGCCTCGAGCGTATCTGATAAATTTACCATCCTAGAAAACTGCCCATCAGCCGGAGCTGCATGAACAGTTACCTTTGACTCTAGGGGTTCAGATGGCGAATTAATGCTTGTATTGCATAAATCTTCTTCGCCTTTTTCTGAATCTGAATCTCCAAGTTCTTGGATTTGAGTTTCAGGTTGAGCCGGGCTGGTACCAAGTTCTTTTCCATTATATGTCCCTTCATCAACCGATTTGCTGGTGGTGCTAATTTCAGAAAGCTTCTCACCATCAACTGAAAATTTCTCTTCAGATTCTGTAATTAAGCTACCAGCAGAGTTGCTTTTATCTAAACTGGCTGCTGCATGGAGCAAGTGCTGGTCCCATACATAAGCTTGAATGAGTAACTTCTTACGCAGATAGTTGATCTCAAGAATGTCTACTGTAACCTGGCCCTGTTTGCCTTCCCCATTCATAGTCTTATGGAGTGATTCCTAGACAACAAGCATCAGAACCAACAAAATGAGCAAGAAATTAGATATTATAAACATGAACTCTAAACGCAATAAAAAGAAGTTGCTCTTATTTTTAAAGATAAGAGACAATTGTGGTTTTAAGACACAAGTTCTTTATGAACACACCAGTTTGATAATATCACCGAGAAGATATGAACTTCCAATAAGAAAAGAAAACAAAAAGCCACTAATTAATGATAAAGTGACAAGAAAATAGATTTAAATATGTAGAACACCCATGAGGGAAACTGAATCACTTTATGTAAATCAGGGGATACATCAAATGTTTTAAACAAAAGATATAAGTAAATTATTCATACAAGCCATAGAAATTGGAAGGCATATGCGCCACACAATAAAACAGCACGAGAAGTGTTCAACCTCTTTGGTCTATTCTCAAAAAGGCATATGCACCATACAGTAAAACAGAATGAGAAAGTCAACCACTTTGATTCATCTTTATTCTCAATTACTAAACAGATTTGAGATCTTGGGAGGAGGTTTGGTTGCTTATTTTTGATAAGCAGGAGTTGGAGCTTTAACCGTGGGCACCTGCACCGGCCACAAAGTTCGGACCCGAGAGACATCAAGAGTTTTTTTGTATTAAGCTCGCTCGAAGGTTCAAACTTAAGACCTCTAAGCTTGTATGACCAAGAGAACCCAAGCTCTAGTCATTGGGGCTGTCCTTTAGACTTTGGTGCTTAACTAATTATCCCTTAGGTCATATTTTGCTCGATTGGAGCCTCTTTTTTAATTCAATTCCTTTTGGATTAGACTATTTTTTGTATGCCCTGATATTCTTTCATTTTTTTCTCCATGAAAATGTGGTTTCTCATTAAAAAAATTACTGAACAGAGTGGGGAGTAGAAAGAAAAGATTAAGTTTGAAAAAACAAGCTCTGACTCATCCATCCACGATCCACTTCAAGAGTTTCAACTGAAAAATTATGGTTTAACCCACTTGCATTTCCATGCACATTCAGGAAGGATGGCTGAATGTCATCAAAGCGAGTAGTCTAACTTCAACATTCACAATTCTTGTAGGCTCACCTCAACTTTGGCCTTCTCATTTTGTAACACAGCCTCCAACCCGGCAATCTGGCGCCTTAGTTCCATTTTTCTCATGCTACTAATGGTCCCTGCAGCAGATACTTTTTCTGCAATTTGACGAAGAGTATTCAGCACTTCAGAAAATAAAAGCTCAGCTTGGTTCACCACCTGCTATAATCAGATAATTAAGTCATCCACGTGCAGTGAAAATCATATTATACGCATCTCAAATCCTAGAGTTATTTCACCTCATCCTTTTCTTTTTGTATCCATTCCTGATTCTCATAATTGAAATCCAGTTTTGACGGTGGAAGGTATACAGAATGCACATCAGTCGAAGCATAGCGAAAACAAGCGATCATTCTCCCATATCTGCGTAAGTGAAACAATGATAGAAGGTAAGTTTCCAGCTTTGGCTAGTCTGATATCCCACATGGGTTGAAAAAGAAGAAAAGAAAGAGAACTCCTCAAACAGAAATGCAAAAAAGGAGTAGCTGTAATTAACTTGGCGCCTCAACTTCCAGAAGATGCAATTATCTTAAACGACATGTCAAAATGAGGTGAAAAAAAGTGTAGTTGATATCTTCCAGCCAGTCAAGTATAAATTATTAGTATTAATTTCTTTCCATTCCAATGATATCTGTACCCTATAATAAACATACAATAATTTCCTGAATCAATAACAAAAAGGAAGGGCACAGCTAACACCAAGAGGAATAAAGGATCTAACTTTGGCACTCAAATTGCATGGAAAAAATTAGTCTGCATAAGAAACTGAAAACTAATATATAAAATTACATAAATTATGAGAAGTGGCCCAAATAAAAATATTTAAGATTTGTCTAGTTTTATGAATAATTGCAGAAATAAAAATTGACTATAAATTAATATGAAGATGATCGTTTTCGTTCCAGAAGTACCATGCTTTGATATGTCTACAAAGACTCTGGCTTTCTCCCTTTTAAATAAACTCATGGAGAAGTAGTGCATGAAATTGAGAGGCATATAAGTACAACTTTGTACGGCCAGGTGTTTGTTGTAAAATTTTCAAAATTCAAATACTTGTTGATATTCCAAATAATTACCCATAAAAACGAAGACAATCTCTATGCAAGGAGTGGCCACAGCTTGCCACTCTGCTAGCAGCAATGTGGTTTGAAAAGCTGAGCTCTAAAAACTTCCCAAATGAGAGTCCCCATGCAGCATCTGACATCACTACTCTTCGAGTAGCTGGGGGAAAACCATTGTTTCGTGGGCATCGCAGGCATCTGTGCCACATCCAAATCTTCCCCTCCCTTTCACCTGGCAAAAGAATTTCTGATAACTTTTTAACAGATATTGTGAGGGTGCCCTGTCTATGAGTATAACAATAGACATGTGCTTCTGCTGGCATGTCGCACGAATCGCATCGGTAGGTCTGAAAAGGCATAAGGACTCATCATTTTCATTATGTATTTCCAAGGTTTCTATAGAGAGAAATTTGCTGTAAATTAAAATAAGACAGCTTACCTGATTAAATAAACGGTCCCTTAAGAATCGGCCTAAAGGTTTATCGAAAGTCCCATAGTATTTGATTCTAAAGAGATGCGACCTCTCACAGACACTTCCTTTCAATATGCACCTTGATGATAATGAGACCAAGATACTTTGATGGGCAGAAGATGCTGTAGCGAAGTCATCTTTCCCTGTTCCCAGCTCCTCTTGATGATTTTGATTGTTCTGTTGCATATTTAATGGCTCTAAGCCAATTGGCTGACTAGATGCTGCTGAGTTATGATCGTCTTCAGCATCAATTGAAAACTTGAAATTCCCCAACAACTCAAGGGACCCTAGTTCCTGATGTTTTTGATAACCGTTATTTCCCGAAGTAGATTCTTCTAGATTTTCTCCCCTGGTACCCAATGCATTTCTCTCCTTAAGAGTATGGTATGGAGAAGACACATCACCATAAGACTCGGAACCAATAGGCCATGACATGGAGTCAGAGGCAACAATGGCTGCTGAATTTGTAGCAGATGAAGTTGGTTGAGATGGTTGAGAGCTAGGGCCATTTTCTACACAAGGTGGAGTGCTGTTGCATGCTAAGATTAGATCCGAAGTAGGGAAACTTTTAGATCTTTGTGGCTCGTCATTAGGTAGGCTAGGTTGCTGCCCCTGGTAGGCAGGAAGACTAAAATCAGGTACCATCGATATGGATCTCTCAACAACGGACGATTTCACAGGAATTGCAACAGTAATTGGGGAGTTCAAGGGAAGTTCTGGTAGAGAGGCTCTTTCATCAGCAAGAAAAGATGTTTCCAAGGCCAAGTGATAAGCAGCAAAAACTCCATACTGAACAACTCGCTTTGCCTTCTTCAACTCATCCATGTCAGCACCTCTAAGCAGAATCTAAAAGAAAGACACGCAAAAGTTATAAATACTTAAGCCAGTGGTCTGTAACAGCACATCTATTCTACAAGGAAGGCACACCAACCAACGAGCACATTTGAACTGATCCACTAACAAAATGAAACAATTTCAGATCTGAATACTGTCAAGACAATTACTTCCTTGGTCCTGCAATTAAAAAAGTGTGCAAGGATAGAAATCATTTTTTCCAGCAGAAAATCCCCAAGGATGGAAATCAACGGGAGAGCAATACCCATGCAAAAGCCCGAAGTTCTGCCATGCCTAAGCTTGTTTTCACTTCCTCATTTCTAGAAATTCTTGGTGCGTTACTTTCCATGCCCACAGAGACACACATGCTTTCACACATTATTCTAAATGGAAAACATATATATGCACAAATTTGGTGATAGAGATATTGAGGACTTACAGTACAACCCAATGGCTTTGGGCAGCCTTCAAAAAACATCAATGTTTTCACCGATCTTTTCCCTCTCTGTCCAGAAGTCCTTAGATCTTCCATGAACCTCTCTACATGAAATATCTCACAATATCCCAACTTTGGTGATGACAATTGATCAATTGAAGGAACTATTTGTGCACCTGTGCAGCGGGCTATACGCTCCAAAAGTGGTCTTTTGATATTGAGAACAAGTGATATATCTTTTGCAAGTAGATACTCTTGTGCAAATCTTGATACTGATTTTTCAACTAGAAGAACATCAGGGCGGTGTGCATCTATCTTTGCCACTGCCATCTTCAAATGGTCAATTTCCTATAAAGGTATAAATCAAATAAGAATGAGACATTAGGGGAAAAAAGAAACAAATGAATGAATGTGTAGTGCAGAATATACTCAAGCACTGGCAATTTGTCACTAAAAACTACAGACTGAAACTAAAAAGTTACAACCTGCTGCAAAAGCGTATCAAAACTWGACAAGTGATTAGAAACCCGTTGGTATTCGAGTGCACCTCCAAGAATCAGCAGGCGAGACTTCTCTATCTTTGAGGTCATTCTCCGATGAGCCACATTTTTCTTACAAACCACTCCTTTTACCACCATACTAAAAGAAAAGTAAATGAACTCCTTGTCAGAAGGTTTAAAGAGCTGGAAGTATTAACTTATTTTGAATAAAAAAATATATGCAACTACATAATAAAGATGAACGGGTTATCATGACTAAGAATGTAAACGGTAGCATATAACCTAAGTATGGATCAATGTCCAGAAGCAATATGTTTACCTACTGCAGCGATGTCCAGAAGCGATACATTTGACTTTTACATATCCACCTGGGTCCATCTCACCGCCTCTGCTCATATCTGGCTTTAATAGTGTCGCAGCCTCCCAAGAGAGGGAAGTTATAATCTCCAACCAACTCTCTTTATCACTGATCTCACCCAAAGGAAGGTTCTCAACCTGCAACAATTGAGCTACTAAAGCCCTAAAATGTCCATCGACTACATTCTTCATGGCATTCTTGTGCTCCTCAGTAGACCTATCCTTACTACGATATTCCCCACTCTCAAAACTACTAGAGGCTCGTAAATATCCCCATTCACCTGCATCATGTTCCTCATCATCATCATCAAATAAAGTTTCCCTCTCATCTTCTTCATCTTCAGGTTCGGGTGGGATCCAGAGAAGCCCATTGTTTTCAAAATCAACAGGTTCAGATTCGACATCCTCTGTATATTCCAAAGAGGAATGCCCTTGATCTTCTCCATAAATAAAATTTGCGTCTTCTTTTCTGTCAAGATCTGGAATTCCTTCCAGACCATGTGAATAAAAACTTTCTTGCAACGGAGAGCTACTTAAACTTCTGATGTTGATGTTTTCTCCATCAAGCTGCACATTATGTGATCCATCCTCATTGCCAATCTCTTCAGATTCAGCTGGACCATAGTAGCTAGTGACTTGAGGAGAATGGCTTGCTTCAGAATCTGACTTGTATACACCATCATAATCATCCTTGCAAACACTCCTGATAATAGAGAAACCATGAGGCACGTAAGTAAAATAACCACAAAAGATGTTTTTCTGTAGGCCGTCTTCCAAGCTAATTACATTACAATAAGTCCACAGGTACCATGATATAGAAATTTCAAAATGAAATCTGAAACACTCAACTACTCCCTGATTCTACGAGACTTGGAAGTCAAAACCCTAAGAATCGGATATCTGAACTCTGAAATATGTGGCTCTTAATTTTTCAGAACTATAACCAGTTGATCAACACCAAGGGTCTTCTACCATTAAGTTCAACCCTTGAAATTAATCAAATATCAACTTGTAACAAAAAGCGGATACCCTATAATAAAGGTGGTTGGAATAATAAAAATATTAGAGGGATTATAGAGGCCAACCAAACTAAGTGAAGACATTAAGAAGTATAACCTGTTCATGGAATAATTTTGTGGTATATCCCCTATGCTAGAAAGAATTTCAGTGCCTCTTCCCGGTGCCAATTCACCCTGTTGATCTCTGTCAGTTAAGATAACAGGTGAATGTTGTGGACTGAGACCAGATTGCTGTTGAGCTTGTTGGCAGGCCTCCAAGGAGTAAGGCACAGAAGCAAGAGTAATGCAACTGCTGTCAGCAGTGCCACTAGATCTAGTACTGGACAAACTTGCCGCCGATGGTGAACTGCAGATATCCTGGTTGAGCACCCTGATCTCATGATCTGGAGCAGCTACGCCCTGATTCCATTGCTTGTAGCAATAGTTACAAACACGAATTCTCTCCCTGTCTTCACGAGGGGTCCTTGGATTGCCTGGTGGAGCAAGTATTGAGTTTGCTGTACACTTGGCACAGAAGACTCGTCCACAAAGTCGGCAATGGTGTCTACGGTTGATAAGGGTAAATTGTGCGTCACAATCGTAGCATACCCGGCAGCTCTGATCAGGCATCCAAAAAGCCCTCGATACATTAGCTGATTCAGATCGCCAAGGGATCCACGACTTCCAATTACCAAGTATATCAGTCAATGCCTTGTCTGGAGAATCCATTGACCAACAAGCCCACGATTCCGTTCATTATGATATGCTCATTTGAAATTGCGACCCAACAAATTCAACCTGAAGAGGAGAAAACAAAAATCAAGAACCCAAAGAAGGAGGTAAACTACTGAAGATTCAGACCAGACCTTGATAAAACTTCTTCCACCTTAAGGCGAAGTCTTCGAGGGAAATGAGGAACAATCAAACCAAAAAAAAAAAAACAGCGAAAATGGAACCTCGTTGTTGGAGAACTGCAACCCAGTTCCTAATTCGCACTATTGACCTACTTCCTTGCTCCGGATCAACACTAATCCCCCAACAACGAAAGATGAAGTAGTTTCGCCATTAAAGAACCAGACCCCAATCTCAGACATAAATTAACTCAAAAATAATGAAACCGCGAACTAATTAAATCTAATAAGAACAGCAGCACGATCAAGAATCTTCTCAACCACCTCTAATGAGTTCAATTAAGCTCCTCTGAACCGACACAATTGAATGACATGTAGCTCCGATTACTCCCGCGAACAGGCCGTCAATTCCTCTGTAGAAAACAAACAGATGACACAGTCAATCGAGATTTTTACAAAAATAAATACTACTGTGTATATTCAACGCGATATCTCCGTCCTCTCCAAGTTCACCATCAAAAACTTGAAAGTTAGACGAAATACATACGGTGTCGAATTCCGATTGGCCTGAACTTGAACTGAATTTGACTGCCACACAACTCAGAGTTGTGCTTTGAAGAGAGAAACCGTGATTCACTACCAAAAAAAGTTCAGTGTGAAATAAAGGGTTGGTGAAGAGAGTCAATGGAAGAGGGGCGTGGAGAGAGATTTCTCGCAGATTCCTAAAACCAATCGACACAATATTCAGCGATCATCGCCACCACAGAAATCAAAATTATGCATTCATCTGATCCATCCAGATCAATTAAGCAACAACTCTGCAAATTCTTCGCAAATTTAAAATTTTCAGTTCTAAGATACTCAATTATGCGGTTTTCTTCATAATTTTGATTATTTTTCTCAAAGATCATTCAGAGAGAGAGATTGCAATATTTTTCTTTTCGTGTTTCTGTAAATTAATCACCTTTTTATGAATATTATAATATGAATAGTTACGTATAAGTATTGGCTAATATCTTTGAAAGTGTGCATTTTAGTACCTTTTTTGTAAAATCAAGTTGGCGTTTTCTTCAAGTATTTTTGGGTTTTTTCTTTTTTTCCTTTGTCAAACATTTTAAAGTAATTTAAAGTTTATATGGTACTAAAAATATATATATATAATAATACGTAAGCTTCTTAGATTTATAGTAGATTTCTTTATTTCTAAACTATGATTTTAATGAATTCAAGGATAAGATTATTATCTCTCTCTCAACGTGTTTTTAGACTATTTCAAATTAATTTTTTATATGGCAGTTCATTTTTAAGTTATATATTAAATGTAAACATTGATTGAGACTATTTATAAAAACAACTTCATTAAATAACACTTTCATTCCGTCACAAAAAAAAAATTTAATTAATTAAATAGATAGATAAACTCAACACAATACTTGATAAAAATATCTCCAAATTATAGAAATGAATACAAATATAAATACTCTTAAATACAAATGTCCGTTTATAATATTTTTAGACCATTTCAATTTAATTTAGAATGCAATAGTGCATTTTTAAATTATATTAAATGTAAACATTAATTGAGCCTATTCATTATTGTTGTCCAAAAAAAAAGAACATCATTATTAAATAACATATTTGATTCCGTCAAAATGAAAGAAAAAAAACTCAACACAACACAACACCTATAAAATATAATTAAATTATTGAAATAAATACAAATATAAATAATATTCTAAAATATAAACACTACATGTTTATGTTACAAATGAAGTTACTTTTTATGTCCCATAAATATGGAGTGTGAAAATTTGAATCTTCCACGAGAAGAGAATGAATTATGTATCTTTTAGTGGATAAAATATGAATTTTATGTTTTCTCATATTTCAAATATTTTATAATTTACGACGGTAGATAAATAAATTATAGTTAATATTTTTTTATAAAAATTAAAGTTAACCCGTATAAAAGAAATTATAGTTAAAATTAAAAAAAATGAAAAGCAAAATGTACTAAAAAAAATTTTGAGAATCAAATTTTCATCTTTTAAACCTATAATATTTTGAAAATAAAATACTGATTTGGTTGAGTTTACGCGATATTGACAGATAATTAGAGAAATTTTTTTTTGTTAGCAAAAAGATAATTAGAGAAATTGAAAGGTTAGAAAAGTAAAAAAGGAGAAAGAAAATTATTCGGGGAAAAAAACGCGTATACGAGGAATTTGAAGAAAATAAAATATTGACAATGACGGGTATACACTGCCCCAGCCCAGCTAGCTGTCTTCAACAATAAGCAAAATATAAGAATAATTTATTATAATTTATATTGTTCATTTATGGCCCCAACTCAAGATTATATTATATCATAAATATCGTTATTATACCTCTCATTTTTGTCCCCCAATTTTAGAAATTCATTATATATTTTTCAAAATAATGCTAGTAATTATAGGCTTTTTGATATCTAATTTTTAGAACAAAATTTGAAAATAAAAATATGCATTTTCAAAAAATATTTGATTATTTGTACGTATATAATTTGACGATATGGAGATGTGAAAATTCAAATAATAATTGGTAATACATGTTTTAATTATAATCTATTTCAATTAACTCAATTGCAAGTATCTGTATTTATGTATTGAATTGAATATCACAAGTACATATATAGAAATTATAATAATTTTTTTTTCTAGAAGAAATAATAATAGCATTTCCTTTTTTGAAAACATAATAAGTATATATATATATATATATATATATATATTTTGGGCAAAGGATAATAATAGTATTTATTACTCCAAGGAAGTTTGAGTTGGAATCATATTTAGTTGGGAAAATGATTTTTTGTTTGTTGTTTACTTACTCAAAGGACGAAATCTCAAATCTTCCTTGGCGAGAACGATTTATCGAATCTCGTGAATAAGATTGATTCTATAAATTTCTCAACTTCACGCACTTTTAAACCATTAAATAAAAACAATCTATTTCGAAAAAATAAAAAATAAAAACAATCACAAGTTNTATTTATGTTTTTGAAGACACGTCGACTATTTATTAAATTATGGATAAAATGAGTTTGTGAATGGAAATAGACAGACTCCTAAACTCGTTAAACTTTTCTTCTTTTTAATTAACCTATGTATTTTATCCTATTGAATTCGGTTTAAATTGACTATAAATTCACGAAATTTAAACTATATTTTGATGAATATTTAAATTTTGAAATTGAAATAACAGAATATTTTTTACTTATCTTTTTTTCATTGCATGATTGCTGATAAAAGAAAGCAAAACTCAATTCAATAAAATTACTTTTCGTAATTTCACGAGAATTTTTATTTTTCCTCGAATCTTTCATSGATAGGTAAAGGATTAAATCCTTTTAAGAAATAAAGTTTTTGATCGGAATATTAATAAAACCGAAGGATCCCTTAACTATTAAGGGATTCATAGAACGAATCGYACTTTTACCACTAAACTATGTCCGCTGCAATGCAATTATTGTATATAAATAGACCTTTTGTCGAAGGTGAAAATAGCAATAAGTAATAAAAAGATCGGATCATAAAATAATGATGAAAATTCGAGCGTGGTCAGGAAAAAGAGCACTCATTTTAATTAAATTGACTTTTTATTTCTTCAACTTCTTTTCTAAATAAATCAAAAAAAAAAACAAAAATAAGTTGAAACTTAAATAAAGTTAGGCCCGTTTGGTTTGTATTTTTAGATTTACTAATTAAATGAATTTTGTGATATTGGTAGTTTTGTTTTTAAAAATTGTTTTTAGATTATGTCATCAAAATTGAGAAAACAACATTATTTTTATATTTTAAGTGTTTTTACATTTTAAATTGAAACTTTAAAATGTATAATTATATTGAAAAAAATATAAAAATTTTGACGTTGCACGTTAAAAAATCAAAACATATAAAATATAATATATTATAAAAATTATATAATATTGTAAAATTATAATTATACACAATTTATAACAAAAATATTAATATTATTTTATATTGAAATCGAATATTTAGTTGGTAACTATCACTAGTTTATAAATATATCACTAAATCCACCTGAACAATTTTTTAAATTGATATTCAATTTCTAAATATTTTACTAAATACATGTATGTAAACAAACAATATAATTTTGTTTGTTACTAAATTGCTTGTTTTCGTATCTCCAACCAAATGCTTTTAATCTTCTAATCAAATATTAAGAAGTGATAATTTATTATATAAAAATACAAATTCTAAACCGCGTAACTTTTTAATCTATGAAGGACCACCATATTCGTTTTTTGTTGGTTAGTATTTATGCCCGAGGACCATAATCCACATTCCTCCTACATCTTTTATCACGTTCTTTTAATTATTGATTTAACGTTAAATTAATCCTTAGCTCCAAATCTTGATGGCCACCTTTAAAAGAGAGATTAAAAAAAGTTTCTTTTTGGATAGGAAGTTATTGGTCAATTTTAGCAATATCAATAAGGCTCAAATTAATAAAGTTTGTTAAAAGTGATTATTAGCTTTTACCAAACTCATATTTGAAGCCTTTAATTTATTTGGTAAGAATAATTATTTATGGCCATCGTACTTTAAATTCTCTTTCAAATATGGTCCTTTGCACAAATCTATATATCATTTATGTGCTTTATAGATGCTAGTAGAATAAACTGTCGGGTTGGTTGGATTTTTAATTTGTAAAATATAGTGAAATTTTAAGGTATTGAAAAATAATTGAATATATGAATTAAAATTATAACTATTAAGAATTTGAATAGTTTTTTAACTCTTTGTTAAAAGTTACTTAATTATTATGTGATGTTTACGTATCTGTACAACTATAATTGTACTTTTTTTTTCTTTGAGTTGAGAGATCGAAGCATAACACAATCATCTCATAATAATTATCTCTTTTGACTGTTCATGTTTATGCCGATAATATGTTCCTAAAAATTCAACCATATTCAATTAGTTCAAGGTTGCTGTTCTAATTATCTTCAAGTCAGCGCTATTTAAAATGTCTTGACTATATTTCATTAAGTTTCGGTATTCATCGAGTTATTGAATCTTTAATTGTTTGTATTGAGCTACGTTGTATTTGTTTGTTAGTGTTACACAATTTACCCATACAACATATATTTACCCAATAGTTGCCTCTCAATTTTCACAATTCCATATGCACTTTGTTAAATACTAGCCAAAACTTTTTTTTGTTGTCATTAGTTTTAATTTCGTACGAATTATAAAAAAAAAATTGTATCGTTTATGTTTTTATATGGACATTGTTTTAGTGATTGTTGATTAGCCAATTAATAGTTGAATCAAACATCACACATAAAACAAGTTCAACAAAATTTTGTATCTACTCGATGTAGTTTGATTGAAAATTAGATGATGATGCATGTTAGATTGAAGAAGAAATGAACAGTCGTATTTATAAAAATTAGACGTCACACGTTGAATTTTTTAGTACGACAAGTCGGGGAGGAAATTCAAACTCACAACCTATTGATTGGAGGTATATGTCAATTACCAATGTGGTACGCTCGGCGATTTTAACCTCTACATTTGAACAATTACAATTAAAAATATATATTATGTAGAAGAAAAACATATTATTGTTGTCGTGCTTGGTTCGTTCCCGAAATAATTTATCCAAATCACTGTGATAATTAAGATTGATTTCGCCCATAATCGGTTTGTGGAGAGAGATCCAGTCGCCGGAATCTCCGAATCGGAGCGCCACCCGCCGATTCCCTCACTTTCAGTTTCCATTTCCCTATCAAAAACCCAACAAAATTAGATTCTTTTCATCGATTCGTACGAACATAAATGTGGTGGAGATCGGCCTCTTTCATCCTCGACAAGCAGCAATCCGAAGGCGTTTCAAAACCCCCCGAAACCCTTTCCATCTCCCAGTCCCCACCCGCGCAATCCTCTATGGCTGACGCCTTCCAGAATCCAAACCCTAAAATCTCTGCCTATTACCAAAGTAGGGCTGCCCACACCGCCGTCGTCACCAGTGACTGGCTCGCCCAGGCGCAGGCCGCAGTCGGGTTCCAGGCCGACGGCCAACCACCGTCGGAAACCGACGTTAGGGATTCTGAATCCAGCAAGCCATTCTGTGTCATCGATGAATTTGATAACTGGAGGAAACTGCCGGATTTAGCTGAGGCAGTTGCAGCTATTCGGGCTTTGGCGGCTGTAATAAGGTCTAGTCAGGCCACGACCATGATGGAGCTCGAAATTGAGCTGAAAAAGGCCTCGGACTCTCTAAAAGTCAGTAAATCTTCACTTCTATGTTTATTGTACTGTAATTTGAGGTTTTGAAGTATAGTTGCAAAGACATTTCTGTTGGACATTCACATGGAGTTATTTTAACATGTATGTGCCAGTCATCCCTTTGGATTATCTTCTGGAAGTTGTGTCTAAGTGGCTGCACGACCACGAGGCTACTTTAACTAAGTAGATGGGTGTGTTTTAGCATCCGCATTATGTCAAATTATATGTATCTCAGTAAAGTGGGCAACATTGTTGTAAACGTTGAAACTATTTTTTACATCTATAGAAATGATTGCACCATGAAACTCATATTTTTGTCTGTCCAATTTATGAAATAGTAGGGGTGTACAAGTTTTGTATGGAATATATTTCATACAAACAATGGTCTTTGCATGCTTTCTGTTTGACAGATTAATATTATAAATAACTTCTAATTGATTTAATTAATCTGTTTGTTTCCTCCAGTCGTGGGATACGACTTCTATATCATTAACAGCTGGCTGTGATTTGTTCATGCGTTATGTAACTCGAACATCGGCTTTAGAATATGAGGACTTCAAGTCTGCCAAGTCTCGCTTGATTGAGCGGGCAGAAAAGTTTGGGGAGATATCTTGTAAGGTAGAGTAGTGGTCATGATAATCTTTTGTAATAGTTGAACAGCCATGTAATTTTGAGAAGGAATTCTAGTACTAAAACTGGTATTACGTTGCAGGCACGAAGAGTTATTGCAATGCTTAGTCAGGATTTCATTTTTGATGGCTGTACAATTTTGGTCCATGGTTTCTCTAGAGTTGTTATGGAAGTTCTGAAGTTGGCTGCACAGAATAAGAAGCTCTTCAGAGTGTTTTGCACTGGTTCGGCTCTTTATTTTTAAGTCTTTAACCACCTTGCAATTTGTGTCGTTAAAGTCTGCATTACTTAGTTGAGCTCTAGAAATCTTGTGTCATTTTCAAAGGATATGGACCTCTCCCCTTGATATACGGGATAAGGGACTGATTTATTTTGTTTTCTTATGAATTCGATTAAAAGTAGCTCCTTAGTATACGATAGGTGCTGATATTTGCTTAACAAAAGAAATTTATGAATGAACCCCAATGCAAAATACTTACTAAGTTAGCCAGATTAAGATGGCATGCCTATAGCTGTTTGAAGTTGTGAGACCTGAAAGACTAGGTGTATGGAGGCAGCAGGTGGGCGCTCCAATTGTTATCAACTTGTTGTGTAATCTAATAGGGGCCAAAGTAGCAGGTAGACAGATTTCCATTCATTTTTTAGGGAAGAGAGCGTAGACAGTAGGGTTGAATTTTTAAATATATCCCATCACCAACTGCATATTCAACATCCTTATGCTGTTGGTTAGTCATCTTTTTCATTTTATCTTGAGCACAGGCAAGATGGAGTTTGGGATCTGCCAAGGTTGGATCACGCAATTTCTGCTCAAGGGTAGAATTGGGAGTCTTTATTATGGATGAGTGGTGGAGAGGCGTGACTATAGAATACTTGAAAGGTAGTGTACGCATTGAAGAATGGAATGTTTTGTTATATTTAATATTTTGGCCATGACAAGCACCGTTGCCATTGTTTGGGTTTGCATTCTGAAACCACTTTAGGTATGTCTTCAATCATTGATTGGCGAAGTCGTCCATTTGTGTGTGGTAGGTGAAACTTTGACAGATTTGAGTGCTTTCCAACTGAAAAAACTTTATCATGATTGGAGATAAGAGACTGAAAACCCATGAAGACACACCACCTCATTCACCAAAGTTGCTTATGTTGTTTTGACTGTGAAAGGGTGATGGGGGAAATGAAAGAGGCATACAGCATACATTCTGGGGTGGTTCATGATGACAAAAATAGTATCAAGATCATTAGATTTATGCAACCCCTCCACATAGCTGAAAGAGTAGCCCCTTTAGGGCAACACGATAAGGATAAGTTGTCATATTGGAGGTGTCTTTTTCAAATGGTGTATGGCTGGTATTGAAAAGGGTGATCATAGCTTGTTTAAATCTCTGCCTGGTTTGCCTTTGGATTCCAATTTAACATCCTTCTTTAGTTGTTGGGTCAAAAAAGAGGAAATGACTCCATAATTTTCCTACCAAAAATTGATAGTAGTAATTGGAGCGGACTAGGGCAATTCCTTTGTTGTCTTAGGAATGGCCATTACAATGTGGCTTGCATCCAACTTGAATTTTCCTCCACCGCATCTAAGTCTATCCAATGTGCCTAAATACTCCAATCAGTCGTTAGGTAATTGACACTTTTTGAGGCTGGCATATAACTTATGCTCACTTAGCATAAGAAACACGGCCCAGATGAATCTTATGAGACATCAAATCAGCTTCAATCTTTCTTTTCTAACTAAGAAGACTGGATTAGGGAAAGGGCTAGCACTTGGTTGAATTACACCTGCAGCTAATGTTTCGTGTACAACCTTTCTATCTTTGTTTTTTGGATTTGGGGCTAAGTATGCACCTGAGACTTTCGGCACAAAACAGCCACTAAGTCAGTTCAAGTGGGCTAATATCTCAGCCACTAAGTCAGTTCAAGTGGGCTAATATCTCAGCCACTAAGTCAGTTCAAGTGGGCTAATATCTCTTCCTACCTCTAAGCCCCTTGCAAGTAACTCACAGCAAACACATAATGATAAAACTAACTTATTACTTGCTATATGAAGTACTCAGTCAGTCAGTCTAGCTAACTAACTAAGGGAAGGTATTCTCCTTTTAGTCTTTCTATAACACACTGGCCTAACAGTTTGATTAACTTCTGCCGATACTGTTGCTACAGGGAAACCAATATTTTTCAATTGTGTCTGGCTCTTCCATTATATTTCTGTGGATTTTATTAGCTTTCATATTTGTTGAAATTCAACGCTAAAATATGCAGAAGGAAGACCAGACAGGACAGGTTTGCGTTTATCCAATGAGCTTGCTAAACTAGATGTCCCAGTAAAGCTACTAATTGACTCAGCAGTAGCGTATACGATGGATGAGGTTGATATGGTGCTAGTTGGGGCTGATGCAGTAGTTGAAAGTGGAGGTATAATCAACATGATGGGCACGTATCAAATTGCATTAGTGGCACATAGCATGAACAAACCGGTGTATGTGGCTGCTGAGAGTTATAAGGTTTGCCTTCATCTGCTAACCTTCATTAGACAAGTTATAGTGTTAAGATTAATTAATACCTCGTTACCACTTTGTGAATATAGTCACTGGAATAAAAAAACTGACTTGCAATTATTTTTTCAGTTTGCTCGACTCTACCCATTGGATCAGAAAGACATGGCCCCTGCCCTGCGTCCCATTGACTTTGGGGTTCCTATCCCATCCAAGGTTGAAGTTGAAAAGTCTGCTCGAGATTATACTCCTCCTCAGTACCTTACTCTTCTCTTTACAGATTTGGGCGTTCTCTCTCCATCTGTGGTGAGTGACGAGCTCATCCAACTATATTTATAGTCAAACTCAAACGTGTAGTGTTTGATTTTTTGCACCATATAGTAACAATTCAGAAACAAATCTGCCTCATGACGACCTAAAGCATGGATACTTTTACTCTAGAAACAATCTTGTTTGTATTCAGTAATCAGTGTTCCAAATGTAGTCTAGTTTTTGGGATGTGAACTTTCTGCACGTCTAAGCATACCTGATAAGTGCACGTATACTTTCTATAAAACAGTGCACGTTATGTTGTGCTGTTACTTATTTATAGTCCAGCTTCTCGATGGATGGCCATTCGCTAGAGTTCCCCATCTCCACCAATATTTGTGTATATATACATATCAAATATGTATATAAAAAGTCTCTCTCTCTCTCTCTCTCAATAGATGGAATTGGAATGATATGAATTGTCAATTGGATGGACCCCTTTTTTTCTTTTGGTCAATTAGGATGGTCCCTTCTCCAAAAAGAACATGCTGTCTCTTTCCCTCTCTCTTCCCATCAGTCGAAGGAACTAGAATGATATGAATGTCACTAAGATGGTCCCTTCTCAAGCGAAAGGAAAAGAATATCATTGGGATGTTTGTCCATATTAGAGTTGATAATTGTTCATATTTAGGAATTTTCATAGTCACGACTCATCGGACTTGACTTGACTTGTGCAACTACCGGTCTGACAGTTTGCTTTCATCGATAAACTTGAATGAGATTCGGATTCCCTTCTGTCATCAATCAAAATCATCGTGATTAAAACTTGAGAGGATTCATCTGAGAATTGAAACTGACAAAAGTGACAGATGAGAGAGAAACCAATAGATACACACTGGTTTTTGCCGCCTGTGGTATATGGTATTTACTATTTAGTAGCATTGATAAGATAAATACAGGTGGAAATTTTATTTATGCATAACGAAGCCTTCACTCTGTTTTTTTTCAACGAGTGGGAATGAGGATTTGAACGTCTGACATTCCTTTTTAGTATAAGATATATGTCATAACTAGAGTTTTCACTTGTTTGATAGCTTTCTTTTAGACAGGAATTTCTCCCTCAATTCTGCCACATCAATATCTCCAAAGTGGCTCTCCGGAATCCAGTTTCCACTCTTGGGATCTTTCATCCAAAACGTCTCTTTCTGTTCTACTGCAGTAACATCATCCCGATCCCCTGTTTCCATGGCAGCCTTCACCTTCCTCGCCACCATTGATGCAGGTGTTTGTGCTTTAAGTTGCTCGGCTGCAACCGAAGAGCTCATTCGCCTGCTATTGCATTGCTATATTAGACTAAGAACAGGAAATAAACCTCCACGAAGAAAAATCGTAGAAAGAAAACACATAAACCAGCACATGAGAACGACACCTTATGAAGTAAAGACCACTCCCAGTAACCTTAGCCATGCCTTTAAGAAGGAAGTGAAGAGAAACAGCGTGAGGGAAAGCTTTCTGTGTTGGTTCTGAAGGGAAATATGAGATATATATTTTGATAAAGAAGTTGAAGTGTTGAAAGAGAGTGCATTTCTATTTAAGTTAATATGATGGACGAGAATATTAGAATCTCTACTGCTTTAGAAGGATAAATACTATGTTGCAAATTGGAATTTATATATAAACACTAAACAGAAGGTCCACTACTATTTTTGTCAGTACGTTATGTATTTTTTTTTAATGTAAATGCATGGAATAGAGATATACAAGCACTTGCAATTAGATATAGTTTTGAAACTGTGTTTCTTGTTTTGGGGAATACATGCATTGGATTCGTTACTCCACTTGCAACTTCTTGCAATGGGTGCTTTTTATTTCTAACAAACTTCGATTAGAGAGATTGAACTTTAATAATATATGGTTTTGTACTATTTTAGTTTTGTACTTCGTCCATGTATTTTTCACTTTTGTTTATTTTGGTCTATATACTTTCGAAACGTATATTTGGGTCCTTATATACGTATATATTTACTTTTAGTTAGACATAAGTGACTTAACCAGTTGAGTTAATTATTTCAGGATTGAATACTGGTATGAAAAGAACATATTGCTATAATGTATTCTTGAATGGGACACATTCCAATGCCTTTCCAAATTATAAAAGAGGAAAATCAAAGGCATTTGGATTAATTAAAACAAACCCATTTGGATATCAATCGCTATTGGGTTTTGTAACTCAAGTTTGAGTATAATTCAAAGAGAATATGTAATTATATATTTTACATATAGAGAGAGAAATGATGGAAATTGGAATATATTTGTAAACATATTCTCTCAAAGTCTCAAACCCAAAAGATGAAATTGGAATGTATTCTATTTCTAGAAAGGCATTGACATGCCGCTAGTTCCCAATCTTATGTTTAAACATTGCCACTAATCGTTCACAAAATTGTGAAAGATGATTCGATACTCTTTGTTAAATCACCGATTAACCCAAAAATTTAAGTTAAGTTGATAAGTTACGGTAAAATTTAATTTTTTAGAGATATAATAATAGTATTTTTTAATAGAATATGATATAAAATTTAAAGATTAAAATAAGCTACTAATCGTTCAAATTAACCATTTGATAGGTTTCTTAAATATTGATATGTAAGCAAAAGTTTAGCTTATTAATATATTTCTTAGAGTATCCTTGTAATTATAAATAACAAAAAATAAAGAACAATGATCAAATATCAAATATTTTGTAGAAAAAAGAACTAGACATAAAAAAACAATAGACGAGGTCATACTCAACACTCATTTCCTTTTAATTCCCCCATAAAATTTGACAACTTTTTGTTTTTCATAAAATTTGACAACTTTTTAATTTTTTGAAAAAAACAGAGAAAATATTTCTTGCTAAAAAAAATCTTTTTCTTGAAAAACAAAAAAAACAATATCTTTTTTTTTTTAGGACACATTGGCTCCAGGAGAAGAAACGAGTGGTGCTAAATTGACCCGTTTTAAGATTGATTCGTGAAAGGGAAGCCGAATAAATAAGCACGTTTTACGTAGCCATTGTTTATTAGAAATTAAATTAATCTCTCCTCTCAAAAAAAAAAAAAAGTGTTATTTCTTTATACAAGTGAGTGGGTGGGCCGGTCGGTGGGTATCGTTATTTTTCCAATTCTATCATACTTTACATTTTATTTATTAATCATTATTGTTTTTAAAAAATGATAAGTCATAAATGTATCCTATTTTAAATCTCAAAACATTTTTGGTTTCAGAAAATTATGAAAAAGTAAGACTCAATGAGTTAAATTTGTGTAATACAAAGTTGGAAAGTTTGACTTTTTATGGTATCTAGATTACAAACAAAAATTAAATATAGAAAACTCCAAGTATTTGAGTTGTGAATTCGTAGTTAATAGTACAGTCATTTAAAATTTTAAAGCGAAGTACAAGAATAAAACATAAAATTCCAAACAAAGTTGAGGAATAAGAAGTAAAATATTTTTAAAAAATGTATACTTTTTTTCTTACAACATTGATGAAATACACCTCTTATCATATAAATAATGTTTTACCTAACATATATTTGCATTGAAAAAAATGTAAAGCTTGCAAAAAGTAGTGGGACCTATTAAATTTGAGAGGATGAGATCACATTGGTCGGGAGGAGAGTATAGTAAAGATAGGAGGAAAAAATATATGATTTGATACGAGACCCACTTGAGAAAAAAGAAGAAAGAATAAAATAAAGCGAGGAATTGAATATTAAAAAAAAGTTGGAATTTTTAAATCATTCTCTTGGATGAGGAGTGAAGTTTCTTAACCCAACCCGACTTCACTTCTTACCACTCCGTTGTTTGAAAGGTCCTAAAATTTATGGTAATATTTTCAACGACCTAGAAGAGATATTTCTCCCAACAAAAAAAAACATAAAAGAGATGTCAGGACAGGATAGCAGAAAAAGAAAGAAAATAATATTTTAACAACAATAATAAGTGTCATTTTCTCATTTTCCACGTTTTCATTTTCATAACAAACGACAACTGTTGTTCGGTAGGAAAAATCACAGTTGTGTGGTGGAAACCAGATGTCGAATACTAAACCTAAACGGTGTCGTTTTAAGGTTATTTTGTTTACTGTTCCACTCACTGCACCTTTTTTTTTTTTTAAATCTTTTTTTCTCTATATATCTGCCATATCCAACTCTCTTCACACTCTCATCAATCTTCCTCTTAATTCCCTCTCTGAATCTCTATTATTTTTCGTCTCCTTTTTTGAAATGCTTCCCAAATTGGGTAGTCCCTTCAGGATGAAGAACATCAGAAATGGTAAGCTGAGATCAGAAGATGATGAAAATTCCAGAAATTTGAAGGCTGTTGGGTTGGGAACAATTCTTGTTCATCCATCACCACAACAAAATCTAGTGGTCAAACAATCCATAAAACTTACTTTTTCTTCACTTCCACCCAATTCTATCAACAACCCATGTTTTCTCAGATCATGCTTTCTATGCAAACAGAATCTCAACCCCCACGAAGATATTTACATGTACAGGTAAACCTTTTGTTATGAACGGAAGCAGTTCCATGGATTTTGGAGAAGAATTTAATTTACCTTGTTGAATTTGTAATTGAATTTTGGTCCTGTTGACAGGGGAGATCAAGGTTATTGCAGCATAAAGTGTAGGAACCAGCAGATTGAAACTGATGAAAAGACAGAATTAGAAGCTTCCACCAGAAAAATTCTGGCTTCTTTCAGGAAATGTCATAAAAATAAAAATCAAACTCAAACTCAAACTCGGTTGCTTCTACAGGATCTCCGCCGCCAACATAACAGAATTCCCCATACAACAATTCCACCACTTGTTTCGTAGTATTTTCTACTTCATATTGCAAATAATGAATGTAACTAGCTAATAAAAATGGTTCAAAAGCAATAAAATACAAGGCAAATCTTAGACTTTGGTTGCCTATTTATATTCATTACCAGCTAGATCAGCAAAAAGAAGAGCTGTAAATTTTGGATATTGATGTAAGGCTGAAGAAACACATGTAATGGATAATGCACAAACATTATCCTCAATTTTTAGTACTAGGAGAGTACTCTTTTTCTTAGTTCTCACCATGATTTTTTCTTTAGAAACAATTATTTAATGCAGTTGAATTGAATCTCACCTCATTTTTAAATAATCGTGTTTGTGGCTGATAATGGCATAAGCTTGTTTCTCCTATCCCTCTTCTGGTTATGCCATTACTGATCGCGGGTAACCTCTGGATTGGTCGCTCCTGACTTAATAAGAACCATTATCCTTATGACCAAACAAGGACCAGCTTACTTACTTCTCGAGCGATAGTTCCACGATCTTGACCAGAAACTTATGGGAGCAGGGTATGGTATTTCTAGTACTGAAAAATTTCCCAGAGTATAATTACTTCCATTCAGTAGCTTTTCTGATATCTTACCCCACCGTGTACGATGTACCTGCCAAGATCCAATACGAGTAAATAAATTGTAAAGATTACACTGAATGCAAAAGAAAAACGTTGGTGACATGAAAGAATGCAACTCAAGGATTGAATTTGTCAGATTTTGAAGTCAGATTTTTTTCCCTCTCTTATGTTGGTCATCATATATTATAATTTGGCATGGAAAAAGTGCAGACCACCTTTTGCAGGCTGTTTTGTTCATATGAATCGATTCGCAGAAATCTTGAGTTGTATGAAAATCCATGACATGGGATCTGAAGAACAAGAAGCTTCGGATATTTGGTCTTTGAAATGGGACAGAAGAAAGAAGCACTCTGTTCTTTGTATGAATGAATCTTCACCTTCGATTGATTATTTTGTCACAAATTCGAATCTTAAAGGCAGTCGTCGAAATTCAATTCATGCCCTCGTGGTTTAGACCGTACCATTGGTTTGTTCAAAATTCTTTAAGAAAAGTAAAGAAAAAGGAAATCAGTTACTTGTTTTAATCACAGCGTAAGGTACTTTTCAAATACCCTACGGTCTTTTTTTTCTATATTTAATTTTTCTTTTTGGGTTTCGAAATTAGCTTTCTTACTTTATCATCAATCAGTTCATCAAAGGGCCAAAGAGGGCTTTAATTAATCCCTCATGTTGGGTGTGTTTTTTTCCCCTAAAAATTTCGCGTTTTTTTTTTTTTTGCTGTGTTTGACCTCAACTTTGAAATGCCGGATTTGGATGTATTTATCTGACACCCACTTATCAATAGATGGGAATTATTTTTTAATAATTCTGGTGACTGTGAGCATTTTGAATTTGTGTTTTCCGTGAAATATAGAGAGAAAACTCACAAATCACGATATACCCTTTTAGTTTCTAATTTTTTTTTTAGGTTTTTAAAATTCTAAAGATATGAATTTAAGGGCGTAAAGGATTCTCCTCGTTGGTGGACTCCAATGTTTATGTTGATCTTTTAAGCTACGAACTTCTTAGGGTTTTGATTTCTCCATTTTTCCCATTCGGTGGTCGATCGGTGAGTCCTCCTAAAATTTCATCTTCTGGTTTACTTTTCGCCATTGCTGACCTTCTCAGATTTTTCATGTTCTCTTCTCAATTAGGTCGAATTCCGAGGGCGGGCGGCTCTTTTCGCTTTCGGAGCCCCATCGCCAGAAGAGGACTGGTTTTTTCTTTCACAATCCATTCTTATTTCCTTTCTAAACGCCTAATTTCTCTCCGGGGCTCTATTGAGTTGCGAACAGATTCTGTGTTCAAAAAGAAAATTTCTAAGCCTTTTTTGAGATATAGCTGTTGGTCCTTCAAATCTCTCAAACTCCATTAGGTTTCAGTTTTTGGATTCTTAAACTATGAGTTGATGCTAGAGGGAAGGGTTTTAAACTCACTGGGAGTTTTGGATTTCTACTCTCCTGTAAGAATCTGGAGAGAATACATTGTATACATCCAATGGTGCTTCATTCTCAAGTTGCTACTAGATATACTTGTAGGCTTCTTGCAGTCCCCTCCTGTGGAGTTCCTGAAGATGAAAGTAAGAAGGATAATACAGAGGATCAGCAGAGATATCCATTTCCACAATTAAGTTCTTCTGGGCGTTTGGAGGTGCGAAATTACGGTTAATTGTTGTTTTGCTCTAGTGAATGCTAGTACTACCCTGTGATGTGTGATTATGCTGTTTTGTGGTAATTACTTTGCCATATATATGTGTATGCAGGTCCAGGTTTTGACCAATCCTAGTAAAGATGAGTTTTGTAGGACTATTGAATCATATAGACCGAACATTGTTTACTTACAAGGGGAACGGCTCGAGAATGATGAAGTTGGTTCTTTAATATGGGGAGGTGTTGACCTGTCCACAGTAGAAGCAATAAGTGGGCTCTTTAGTTCTCTGTTGCCCGCCACTGTATGTTCTATATCCTTCTTTGAATTTCGTTTCATATTGTTTAGCACCATTTTGTTATCCTAACACCCCACCCACCACAAAGGGAAACAGTAAACAGAAACAAAGAAGAAATTGTTACTATTTTGAGTTTTCATTGTATTTAGCACCTGTATGGGGTGACGTCATTGGACTAATTTTTTTATAATTAGATACTGGAGAAATATTAGGCACTCGAATTATCCAACCAGCCTACATAAATTTCGGATCATGAATTCAGTTGGGAGTCTGTGAAACTCCATGAAGCTTGTTAAATTATGTCCTTAATATTTCATTACTTCAGTTCTTACTACTCATGAGGTTGGTAGGTGAATTTTCAGGTATATTTGGATATAGCAAATGGAGATGAAGTAGCTGATGCACTCCACTCCAAGGTGGATTTCATTTAGATCGCTTCTCTACTCTATCTTTGGCATTAACTGCCATTGACTATTTTTAGGATTTAAGGTGCTAAGGCTTCTAATGTTTATTTTGAATGCTGCAGACTGGCATTTCCAATGTTCTTGTATGAAGTATGAGTAGTTTTCATAAACACAGAGAATAAAAGATTATTTTGGTTTAATGTATGCTTATTTGTTTTCAGGGTATTCCTTATGTCATATATTGGGGAAGCACATTTTCTTGTTATGCAGCTTGTCATTTCCGTAATGCATTCCTGTCGGTTCTTCAGAGGTACTCCATTAATGTGACAAAGTACATTAGTTGATTATTCCAATGGAGACTAGGTATAGGTAGAAAGGAAAAAACATGATTGGAAGATAACTATGTTTCTATGTGAATTGCAGTTCAACTGCTCATACATGGGATGCATTTCAACTTGCACACGCTTCATTTAGGATGTATTGCTCAGGAAACAGCCTTTACCTTCCTACGGGTAGTAATAAAGAAGTTAATGAAGATCTTGGACCGCATCTTCTGGGGGAACGTTTGAAAATAAACGTCGAACCCCTTGAGAAAGAGGCAGCTGAGGATGAAGAAAGTTCATTGGAAACTCCTTCTCTGAGCATACTTGATAATGATGTTGAAATGAGATTTCTCATATGTGGAGAACCAGGCTCATTGGTAAGGACGGATGGACGTCTGCTTTTAATTTTCTATGCTAAATTTGACTCAGCTAAATGAAGGAACGTGCAGAACTAGTCCCCTTCTAGTGTGCCCTACTCTGGCATGACTTGTGGATTTGTTTTCCTCTTTTTAGGATGCTTATGTATTAGGAGCTCTGGAGGATGGTCTTAATGCCCTCTTGGACATCGAAGTAAGTAGGGAAAATGCATATTGCTAGGACTTATGTTTTTAATACACAATCTTGGTTATTGATTTGTTTATGTCCTGTTGATTGGGTTGATAATGATTTTCATCAAAGGTAACCCACCTTCCAAGAGTAAACGCTTAAGCAAGCAAATAAACACAAAAGATTGTTCGCCCATGGCAATACTTATGCTTGCAAGTGTTTTCTTCAAGGGTTGTTTTAGATTCCAGATAATAGGAGGACTTCTCTTACATCATATTTTTTCTATTTCTTTGTGTTTTAGATTCGGGGGTCCAAACTTCACGGCAAATTCAGGTTGGTTTTTCAAAGTATTTTCCTGATATTTATTTCCAAGTTACTTTAAGTGAGCTGTTGTAATATTTTAATTTCTCTAATTGATGGTGTTCTTATGAATTTAACCACTGCAACAATCTTCTGACCTCTGAATGGAGTTGTAAATTCCATATTTTAAATTGGCTGTCAATTGTATTAATTCATCTGATGTGGACAGTGCCCCTCCTCCACCTCTTCAGGCAGGAACCATCTCTAATGGTGTTGTTACCATGCGCTGTGATATATCGACATGCAGTTTTGCCCACGTCTCGCTTTTGGTCTCAGGAAGTGCACAAGCTTGTTTTGATGATCAAGTAATGCAGAAGCTTTCTTTGGTTAGGTTCTCATCTTGTTTTGCAGTTGTCAGATCCTTACGTAACTTCTTTTTGGTTTGTATTCAGCTATTCGAAAATTATATAAAGAATGAGATTATTGAAAGAGGCGAACTAGTGCAGACACTAGTAGATGATGAAGGAAGCAAATACCTATGTGAGCCACGGAAATCTGCTTCAATTGCTTGTGGGGCAACAGTGTTTGAAGTTAGCTTGAAGGTCCCTTCATGGGCATCTCAGGTTGTCCGGTGCTTCTCTTCATTTTATTTTGCGAGCTTGTATCTTTGGGGTTCTAATTCTATATTGGGGTTTAGCGTCCATATATTCTTGAAGGGTGCTTCTCTTCATTTTATTTTGCGAGCTTGTATCTTTGGGGTTCTAATTCTATATTGGGGTTTAGCGTCCATATATTCTTGAAGAATGCTTCTTCTAGGATTAGATAATGTATTGTTTCACCTGAGAACCAAGAATGGCCTATCTTCTATCTTGGTTTAAATACTGTGCATTGATTTCGGCGGATTCTTTTCACCTGGGCTGGATCTTACAGGAAAGAAAAAACTGTTTTCTGGTATCTGTCTGTTTCCAAGTGTTAGGGAGTCACGACTGAAGATCTATGAAGCAATATATCCTATTCATTTAGTGATGATTTTAATCTAGTTCTTATGATGAGTTTTATGTAACGTCTGATGAGTAGGTGCTTGTCCACGGCTGTTTTTCAGATTTTAAGGCAGTTGGCCCCTGATGTTTCTTTTCGAAGTTTAGTAGCACTGGGCATTGCCAGCATCCAGGGTTTGTCTGTTGCTTCTTTTGAGAAGGATGATGCTGAACGCCTCCTTTTCTTCCGTTCAAGGAAGGAAAAAGATTTCATTCTGAGCAATTTAACTGATAGCACACACCCTAGTTGGTTGAAGCCTCCTGCTCCTGTAAGGAGATCTAAAAGGATGAAAGACAGAAGCCATGGTTCTCATGATAATCTTGAACGCCTGAAGGTTTCTTCTGCTAGCAGAATAGATGATGGGAACATGGAAATAGGATTGAGGAATGGTTATATCACTCCCATGCTTCCGCTCCCAAGAAGGAGAGGAATGAAAATTGCTGCAATGAGGCCCATTCCTCATGTTAATCGCCACAAAATGATATCTTTTCCTAGAATAGCTGAGACAGGTGGGCACAATGGAGGCATGGTTAAAGCTAGTGTCCCTTCTATTAACCCCACAAAGCATATTACCGTAGGTTCAGCTTCAGTTTCACAACAAAAAATCTTTCCAAGTGCATCTCAATATAAACAAATTATTCCCTTGAATCCGCTACCTTTGAAGAAGCATGGTTGTGGCAGAAGTCCTATACATGCCTGCTTTGAGGTAATTGCATCTCTTTGGAACTACTGTTCTTTGAAATTGCGTGTTTAAAAAATTATGAGAAATTATAGTCCTGTGCTTCTTATTTAATCTCTTGAACTATTTTTTTCTCATGTAGGATGAGTTTTTGAAGGATTTATTGCAGTTTCTAGCTCTTCGAGGTCACCATCGACTCATTCCTCAAGGTGGGCTCGCGGAGTTTCCAGATGCAATACTCAATGGAAAGCGTCTTGACCTTTACAACTTGTACAAGGAGGTAAGCTCCTTTTCTTTCAGTAAGAATCATGGATATAGAGTGTCCTGGAAGCCACTAGTTGGACTATTCCTGAATGGATGCTGCTGATCAGGTGGTTTCAAGAGGTGGCTTTCGTGTTGGAAATGGCATTAACTGGAAAGGACAGATCTTCTCAAAGATGCGGAATTACACCATGACCAACAGAATGACAGTATGAACGCAATTCTTCTCCTAATGATAATTTTAGTATGGTGTAACTGTTTATCCTTGAATATCCAGATTCTATTATTTGCATAACAAATAATGTGAATGTTGTTTCTTGATGCTCATGATCCTGTGGTGATAGAAGATAATAACTAATTCTCTTGCAGGGGGTTGGAAACACGCTTAAAAGACATTACGAGACTTATCTTCTCGAGTACGAATTGGCACATGAAGATGTAGATGGCGAATGTTGCCTTTTGTGTCACAGGTTTGTACACCTCCATTTCCATTTCATTCTCTACGTTTCCTTCTCCCATTTTTGAAAAGAACAAATATTTCATTGCAGCCAATGAAACATTTGGCTTGTATATATAGGCTTAGGAGCCAAACATACTAAACTGGCTATTAACTTGGGCTCCTAAGCCGACTTCCTCTCTTCCCCAATGTTAAACTAAATAGACTTCATATGATTGCTGCTTACACTGGAACTGTTGGATTTTGCCTCAACAGTAGTGCAGCAGGGGATTGGGTGAACTGTGGTGATTGTGGCGAGTGGGCTCACTTTGGTTGTGACAGAAGGCAGGGTCTCGGCGCATTTAAGGTATTTTCCCTGTCCTACCGCATCACCTTGGTAACACCGAATCTAATGAAAGCACAAACTGTGTGAAAAGAGTTGGAACGAGGCAAGATTCCATAGTTCAGGCATACTTGAGATGTCTTGAAGGTGGGAAAATATGGGATGAGAGTTGAGTGGTTACTTTACTTGAATCATAATGGTTGCATTGTGCCTGATTTCTGCAGGATTATGCAAAAACTGATGGTTTAGAATACATATGCCCACACTGTAGTGTTGCTAATTATAAGAAGAAGAAACTTGCAAATGGGTTGTCTCCAGGCTTATCCTCAAGACCAATATGAAGAGGATTTGATTTTGAGGTTAAATTTGTCTCTGCCAACCTCAAACAGAACCAAACCATTTGCTTGCGGCCGTATATACAAACCTCGACGTGTTCCATTCTGCTATTAACCTAAATCTACCAGTATATATATAATATAATGTATCCAGGAAAAGAAAAACAGTGAAAAGTCAAGGGGAGAACTCTTGGTTCTCTCTTTTTTTTTTTCCCATTTTTGTTGTATGGGAGGGCTGTTGAGAAATAGATAGGTAATTCGTTAGGAAATAGAAGGGGAAGTGGATATGACAATTCTCCAACTTAGTTTAAGGCTGACTTAGATTTTATGTAGAAGATGAATTAAACCAACCTCTTGAACTTACATGTATGCTTACCTGTACTTCTTTCAACCCATTGCCTACAAAATTCATAAAAGAAGGAATTTTAAGTTTACAAATGAAAATCTATGGATTGTCCTTTGGCAACAAAATGCATTAAAACAGAAATTATAAGTTTTATGACTAATCAAATGGATTAGATTCACAACATTAGCTGAAGGGTTGGTGGAATCTTTTGGAACGGGCAAATCAAATCACTATGCTTCAAAGCTTGGTTTTCAAATGGGCTCCAAAACAAACTAGGCCAAGCAAAAATATGTACATTTTCAAAGAGTTAAAGAAGAGAATTTTAAAACAAAAGCCCTAAAAGAAATTGACACCATGAATGAAATGTCCCACACAGATGAGGCAAGAGAAACAGAAATAGAAATAGAAAGAACAAAGCAGACAACAGGTCCACTGCTTAAATGATACTGCTGCAGCCATGATGGATGCATTAAATGCATCACTCCTTCTGGACAAACTACAATTTATAAACTAAAATATGGGTTTCCAATTGTGTTTCATGAATGGGTTATTCGAGTTGATGTTGTTTGAGAATGGAAAGTTTTTGAGTTTAATTGAATTGAATAAATCTAAAAAAAGATTAGAGGACAATAATTGAAGGGAGAGAGGAAGAGATTGATTTTTCCATCTTCTGGAAGCATTGAGCTAAAATATTCCTATCATTTCACAACGGGAAAAAGAGTTTTGAAATATGATCAAAAGGCCAGTTGTCCATTTCAAAATACAAACCTCAAAGAGTCAATAGGCCCCATCCTCTCCCTCTCCCTCCCTTCTTTAACACTTTATTACCAAGACTTAATTATGACCATGCCAATAATTGCATGCTAAACTGTACACACTTTCCTTATTTCTCCCCTAGGCAATATAATTTTATTTTAAACAGTTGGTGAAAATATTACTTTAGTCATAGATGAATAAATTAAATCCATATCCTTAAAATTTTTAATGTAATGTTCAATAAACCGTAATCAATAAGAGCTGTGTTGTAAATCTTAATGTTTTGAGTATTGTCTTAATATTTTTTTCATCTACTAAAAATGTAGGGTCTGACTTTAAATTTAGAGATAGAAACAATATTTTCCCTAAATCTCTATAAGTGAGTGTCCATAGAAATTTAGATAAACAACATTTTTAGGGTCAAATTTGGGATATATAGAGATGTGGCTGACCATTCAAGAAGTAAATTTTACAAAAATAATTTAAAATGAAATAATTATAGCAGTTCAATTAAATATCTAGTTTGAGTTAATCCATTTTTCACAACGGTGAATCGTTGATTTATCCTAATAAATATTCTTTTAATCAATTTGAACACTAATATTTATTTTTTCCTGTTACTATTAATTTCATTGTATGATCTTTAATTATACTTTAACTATTTTTAATTATTACTTCTCCTTATCCTCAATAAGTGAGTTACCATGTTGGTGGATCTTCAACTAACATCATTTATTGACATTAAAGAACATCTAACTAATTTTGATCTCTAAATTTACAAAGTTTTGTCATTTGCCTAAACTTTGCATTAGAAAATATTTTAATATTTGTTAATTTTGCATAAATCATTTAATATAAACTTTATTTTTGTTTTTCTACCTAACAAATTATGGCCAGTCAATTTGAACACAGCTTTATAAATAAAACACTTATTACTCTCTAATTCACAACAAAAATCAACCTAATTAACTTTCATGTAAAATTTAGAGATAAATAAACCTAAATTAAAATATTGGGATGAGGCAAAATAAGTACGAAAGTTTAGCAAGACTATTGTGTATATCCAAAAGTATGTGAAGTTATTATTAAAGTTTAAATACTATTTTGCTCCGTGGACTTTTTTAGATTTTGTCCATTTTAGTTTTTGAATTTTCAAAATGTTGGTTTGGTACTTTCATTTTTATTTCTCATTTTTCGATTGCAATTTTAACACAATACTAAACTCAATAAAATTCTTAAAATGTAACCATAATTTCGTATTAAAAAACTTATGTTATATATAAACTTTATGTTAACCTTTTATAAATAAGAATCAAAACGATCACTTTTTAAAAACTACGATCAAAATGAAATGAAAATTTATGAATATACAAAAGGGTGAATAAAAGTTAAAGTAAGACCTTAAAAAATATAGAGACCAAAATAAATAAAAATGGACCGTACAAGGACAAAAATATTTAAACCTTCCATTAAAATACCTGTGTAGGTTTGAAATCTGAATTTCAAAGGATTCAAACTTTGAATCACATCACACCGACGGATGATGTTGAGGATTGGAGTGTCCACCTCAAAGCAGCTGCCTTGTCTGTCTGGCTTTATTGGTGCCTTATTAATCCCCTCGTTTGACTTAATGCTTCTAAACCAAATCTTTTGCTTCCTAATTTAACCTTTATTACTACAAAGTGAATGCTGCTGTTTCTCACTCTCTCCTTTCCTTCTACCGAGTGGCAATTTCTTGTCTAAAGTGTGACCACAACAGAACAGAGTAAGCTAAATCCAGAGAGAGAAAGAGAATTGAAGTTTGTAGTGGTTAAGTTGCAGAGTCCCCACCACCTATTTCAGAAGGTTTGGAAGCTAAGGAGGGAGGAGAGACATCATAAGCAAAGATTCAAAGGAGGAGAATGATGGTTTTGGGACCTGTTTTTTGTTTCTGATGGCTATCAAAAATGGCCCCACAGCTCCATTATGATGAACCAAAATGTCCTACCATGCGCAATTTTTTCACCTTGCATTGGGCTCCACCTCACACAATCTACCCAACTCCACCAGATCTTCAATCCAAGTACTATTCGTCTCATAATTTTACATGTAAAAACAAATTGTTAACAACAAATATTTCTTGCCCCCACTCTAAATCAAATCACCTTCCCTACTAGCTAATTTATATTCACATAATCCTATAAATATTGATGAAAGTAACCCACTGGCTAGATAAAAGAAACACCATATAAATATACATATAAGAGAAGGACAAAACCTCCATTGGTACGAGTTATTTTAGGTGAAACTAAAAACAAAATCACGAAGGCTCATGTTAAAAGTGGAAAATATCATATACTATATTTATAGAAATGTGGGAGGAGTCTGATAGTGATAGGAATGAAACTTTATGTTTAAACATGTGGTATCCGAGTTATGTTTTGATAACTTAACATAAACATGTGGTATCCGAATTATGTTTTGATAGATTAAAATTGTTAAGGATAATGGTACCATCATACTCCCAAGTATCTCTACAATGGGCATATAACCTTCATGGCTTTACTACTTTTGGTTTCACCTAAAAAGTCTCGTACTAATGGAGATAATTATCATCATCTATATATCATGGATCATTCTTTTCCCCAACCAACGTGGGATTTTATTTGCACATTGTGCAATCCAATGAAAATATATAAGTTGAACAATAAATAAAGTAGGCTTCATTGTCATTGTAGAACATGAAGGTGTGGGTTTCTACCTTTTCACTCTTTCCTCCCACTAATTGAATGCAACCAATTCAAATTCGTAGCAAATGCCCCTAAGAGGTGAGCTGGAAGGGAGTAGGCTTAGAGAGTGCATTCTAAGTTTAGTTCTAAGAAATTTATATAGGAATAGATTGGACTCTCTCCCATCATGTGCAAGTTTTAGGAGAAGTGGTTACCTGTACTACATCAATTGATATCAAAGATTAAATTGTCATGTTCAAACCCTACTGGTATTGTCTTCTGGGGGGGTTTTCCTAAATAGAGAAGAAATCAATGCAAATGTCTCATTTGAACATGGGGTGGATTTCTTGAGAGTCTTTCTCACACATTTATTGAATTTATCGAACAAATTCGTAAATGATACTTCATAAGAGCTTAATCTAAACAGAATAGACTCAAAGAGTGTTAAACTTTTGCCGGTCTATTATGATTTGAATTTTAATAATGTATTCTAGCCTCCAAATAATGAATCCTTTGTCAAGGCCTCGAAACTAAAATCAGACTTATTTACAAATGTATTCATAATAACCACACTTCCCCACCGATTCACATTCACTAATTGAAGACTAGTGTAATTGGGCTCTTTATAAGAATTTTAATATTAAACTACACGTTGGTTGTCGCAGACAACTAAAGATTTGTGGGGCAGCCTTTATTCTTGTGTGCAGTCACAACATTGAATTTCCTCCCCATTCTCCAATATTTGTTATATATCCTAATGTTCATAATTGGAAAAGTGTCACAACAGCATCAAACTATTTTTTTTAGTACAATATGTGAGAATGGGGATTCGAGCTCATGACTTTTTGGTTGGATATAGGTGCTTTAACCACTTGAACTATGTTCGGTTTGGCACAACAGCATCAAACTATTAATCTACTGGCATCGACTTAGTAATTGATATAAATGGAAGATAATAATAAGTCCTATATAGCTAATCATCGTGGGTGATTAATTGATTCAAAAGAGTTAGGGTAAATTAAAAGAGATGTGAGGTATCTCCCCACTATTCCTTGATTCAGATAAAAAGAGAGCTCGAAGGCTTTACAAAAGATGCCCTAAGGCAATACAAAAGCAACCCACCAATTCAAGAGGGTGGGGAATCTCTCCCAAAACGCCAACGCAGTAGCAAAACACAGAAAACGAAGATGATCCCGACATTCCTTCCCCCTTAAAAGGACACACTCCCTTGCCCCTATCTAAACATTTCTCTCTCTTGGCCGTTTTGGCCTATGCCTACCCAATTACTTCTTTACCCTTTCTACTGTAAGTTTTTACAATCGGGGGCCTAAATTCAGGTTGCACTATCCTCTGCTTTAGCAAGTACTTCAACGCCCGTTGGTCGGTTCAGACAATAAACGCCCGTTGGTCGGTTCAGACAATAAACTTCTGTCCCAACAGGTAGGGCCGCCAGCGCTGGATAACTAAAACTACTACCATGAGTTCCCTTTCGTAAATCGATTTGGCCTGGTTTTGCAATGACAGTGTATGGCTAAAATAGGCTATGGGGTGCTGATGTTGCGTGAGAACGGCCCCTAGTCT